TAGGGTAGGTGCTCAGTGCCCACCCCTGAGGTAAGCCAGAATGCAGGGCCAGTCATTGCTCCACTGGGGCAGTTCTGGTCCTTCTCAGCCATGGTGAGCATGCAGACCAGCCAACTCCAATTCGGACTGAAGGGAGAGACTGGCAGGCTGGCCAAAGACCCTGTTGCCCAGGCAGGAATCTGGACACAGGGGTGCCTACAGAGAACAATCAGGAAATGTACATGATAAGAGCTAGAGTACTAAGGGGGTAATAAATGTATAGATTCTAGCAAAGGCAGCAGACAATACTTATCTTCCCTTTTGTTATAAAGTTTCCTTAATGAGGAAATGTTTATTTTAAAAAAAGTGTGCTCGTATTTATTAATCAGATGGATGTAGTTATGACGGGTTAAAAATAAGAAAAACCAACGTAAAAATACAATCCTATTTTTCAGCTTCCTCTTCCCTGCCTTAATGAGGGAAGGGGGTGGGGAGGGAGAGCAACTTTTGTTACTGGGATACAATGTGTGTTTTTTGTTTTCAAACAAAAAAGGCCACCAAATAATCAACCTGGGGCCGCTGACCGGAAGGCAGCCCCGGAAAACTTCCCGTGGGAAGAGTTCCAGAAATTGCCCGGACTTTAACAAGCCCCGCAGCGCTGGCTCCGGGCCTCAGACGGGCCGAGGCGACTGCGACTCGCCTCGTCCGAACACCAGCCGTCCTGCCAGTTCACGAACCCAGAACGTTTTACAGATTTGAGAAGTAAGACGGGGAAAGCATTTCGAACCTACAGGAGAAACGTCGAAGTCCCCGGGTGCCGAGGGAAACGCTAGATTCAGATGCGCAGGTCCCCTCGGCCGCCCTCCCTTTCTGCGCGCCTAGGCGCGCCCCCTGCCGTGCACCCCGACTGCGCCGCGGCCACCCCTCGCCCCCTCGCCCTGCGCCCTGCGCCCGCCCACCTGCGCCTCCAGCCTAGCCCCCAGCGCGCCGACATCCGCGTGGGCGTGCCCCCTCCCGGGTCACATTCCCTCTCAAGCCTCTCACCCCGTCCCCACTCTCTCTCTGTGCCTTGAACGACGTACAGGAAACCAGCCCAAGGATCGGTTCTTAGTGCGACCCGGGCCGCGCGACGAGGCAGGCGGGACGGGGTGGGGGCAAGCCCGACCCGTGGGTCCCGGCCCCTGCGGCTGCGGCGCGCGGGGCTCCCCAGCCCTGGGGCAGCGCCCGGTGTTCCCACAGCCTCCAAGTCCGGCCAAGCGACGGCGAGGTCACCAACATTTCTGAAACCACTTGAAAGCCATCTCCGTGGCGGAGGCTGGGGGTCCTTTTCAAGGGAGCCAACGGAGTCCACTCGGTGGTCCTTCCTGCCCCACGCCCGGCCTTGCGCCTCTCCGCACCCCCTCCCCCAAACGATCAATTACCAGCCACCCTTCTGCCGGGAGCGGCGAGGGGCTGGCTGGCGGCCGCGAGGAAACGGCAGCCCAGATCACTTCTGCATGACAATTGATGGGAGGGAGGGCGTCGGGCGAGGAGGGAGGACGGCTGCGGTGTCCGTTTTCTCACCATGGTGATTAGGCATTCCGGCCGTGCGAGGAGGCAGCCGCCGACCACAGCGGCCAGGCGTGGAGCGAGGACGGGGAAGAGAGTTGGAGCGGGAGCGAGCCCAGCCGCCGCGCTGGCGGGCGAGCGGCGCTCCGAGCCAAGCCAAGCCGGGCCAGATGGCTCTGCAGCCATCAGGGGCTGCTCCCGTCCAGCCCGGCCCCACTTTAGCTGTGCAAACATTTCTTTATCCCAACAAGACAATTAAACCCAGCAGCATGAAAAGGAGTCTCCATCATGACTGTGTGTGGAGTGAACAACCAGAAACCACACACATCAGGAGTTCTTATCCCTCCACCCCGGCCCGGCTACGGGGGCGGAGGGTGGGGATGAGAAAAGGGACCCCCAGAGAGCCCAGTGAGCAGCTGAGCGACGGGCTAGGTCTGGGCAGTCAGTAACAGGGAACAGCCTGACCCATCTCCTGTGGTGATTTGCCGACCCTTTCACAGTGGTCTCTGTTTCAGCTACAGCCCAGAAGTTGAGCCTGGTGACCTGAGAACTGCCCCTAACATTCTCCCCAGCAAGAGAGAAATTCCCCTAAAAGCCCAGATTAGGGTCATTACCTACCCTAGTCCTAGAGCCCTTGGGAACTAACCCCACTACCACTACCCCCATGCTGGGGGCAGCCTTCCTCACTCCAGGCTGCCCTGGGCCTATGTGGGCTCAATTGATTTGGTTCTTAAGCCATAGGTTCTTCAGTGACACATGCCTTTATAAAGACACATCTCAGAGTACAAAATGCCATCTCCTACTCAAGGCCTTTGGGACCTAAGAATGATTTTTCATATACATCAAAGATGAGAGCAAAGCAGAACATCCAGGAACTGCTCTACGCCACCTGGTTTCCTGCCTACCTGTGAATCTGCCTAACCGTAAGGAAAGGCTAGGAAAGAGGGCTGCTTAGGGTAGGTGCTCAGTGCCCACCCCTGAGGTAAGCCAGAATGCAGGGCCAGTCATTGCTCCACTGGGGCAGTTCTGGTCCTTCTCAGCCATGGTGAGCATGCAGACCAGCCAACTCCAATTCGGACTGAAGGGAGAGACTGGCAGGCTGGCCAAAGACCCTGTTGCCCAGGCAGGAATCTGGACACAGGGGTGCCTACAGAGAACAATCAGGAAATGTACATGATAAGAGCTAGAGTACTAAGGGGGTAATAAATGTATAGATTCTAGCAAAGGCAGCAGACAATACTTATCTTCCCTTTTGTTATAAAGTTTCCTTAATGAGGAAATGTTTATTTTAAAAGCCCTGGGAAACATATCTGTAGACACTTCATATGTAAGACACACGTGGACTATTCGTAATTGGTCCATAAATTTTAGCATCATTTCCCTGGACAAGGAGCCTTGGAGACTGGTTCAGGGAGTGACAATAAACAGGAGTTACCTCAGTCCCCTTCCGGGGGAATTATGCATCCTCCACGAATGGCTTCTCACAAAACACTTCTCCCTTTTTCCAGGGCAAATAAGTCAGTCCTGTTGAGTAAAGCCTTCCCTTTTCCATAGAACCGAACACCTACCTCAGGAATCACTTGTGAGGCCAGGCAGATGAACAGGCAAGCAAACCAGAATCATCATTTACTAGGAGAGACAATACTTTATCCAAATAGCTACACTTCTTTCTATAAAAACACATATTTAATCACAGAAGAAATCCTGCCTATCAGTACCCAGATTTAAGGAAAGAGCACACGTGTATTACATGTCTGCAGGCACCTCTTTCAAATGCTCTCACACGTGAACATATCTGCCAATGGATGCAGTGGGGGTGGGGGGTAGAGGCTGCTTCAACAGTAAAAACTGTCAGTGTTTCCATTGTAAAATTGGTTTTTCATTGACCTAAAACTCAGTCATAAAGTTCTACTCTAAGTAAGGGACACACACATACACACTCCCATACTAACCCCACCCCCCTGCCACAAGAACCCCTAAAGCTAAATGCTTGAGGGTTTTACTGTTGTATTAAATGCAAACTTTTTTTACATTTTATGAAAAAAAATTTATATGAAGGGAATTGAAAAATGAGTCAACCATATCAGAAATTAAATTCTAAGAATAAAAAACTAAAATATACATGGTTGATTTCGGCAATCTGGGCAAAAGCCACTCTGTCCTATTACTTTGCTCCTCTGAACACTCTGCATCTTCTCTCTTCTCACCTCCCCACCCCCTTACTGCCCCATCTGCCCCTTGAGCTCCCCCTTTGGAAGCAGTCTTGTATACTGTCACTCGATTACCTGAGAAATATTACTTATTTCAAAATGGTTCTGTAGGGAGGAACTGAATGGCATCTAGTGGGAATAATCAGGCCTTCTAACGGCCCTTAAATATGTATTTACATAAAACAGACCATAAATATTCTGACACACGTCGGCATATGACAGGAGCCAAGAAAGCTGCTGCTGACTTTGTCACAGTGCCTCTTCGACCCTTCCCTGAGAAAAATGTTTCTCCTGCTTTCCAAAAACTCAAAATCAAAAGCACCAGTGCTCACAGTACAATCCTGTGAAGACTCCCACACCATCTAAGGAAGCAGAAGGAGAAAGGAGACCCTATCCAGGGTTATCAGAGGCAAACAGTCTCCTGTTCACTGTGCACCTTTGTTTCTTGTTCAAGATTAGTCACAAACACAACCCTAGATAATAAGGTGGATGTACAAATATCTACATTCATAGACATGCCCGTAGGTTTACTGTTTGTGTAAGAGGAAAAAGAACACAAAGTACTCTTTAAATGAAGAGTCTTTTAAACAAATTAAAGGGAAAAGGGCTCCAATTTCTATAATATGACATAAAGAAGTTCCCCACCCTTCTGATCAGAATCTCATTAATTTCAAGGTCAGAATTCCATTTCACTTTGGCAGATAGACTCATTTAGTTTTTCTCCACCCAGGCGTATTCCTGTGTGAGGGATCCATCTCCACGGGGGACGGCACCACCACACAATGCCAACCAGGCAAACAGAAGAGTTATGGATTTGACACTCGGAGGGGAATGGATATCCACATCCATGAGTTCTGACTTGACTAACAAGCTTCCTCCTGCTCTGGGGGTCTGATACAGGTTTGGGCCGAAAAGAAAAATGGAGACAGGTTGGATGTGCTAAGAGAGAAGACAGGAATCTTGATCTCCAGATGTTACTTTGTGGTGTATTAGTTTCTAGAGGATTTCATTTTCAACTTAACATTTGGAGAAAAAAGGGGCAGAATCTGTCATACCCGAACTCAGGCAGCCAGAGGTAGAACACAGCTAGCCTTGATCACACCGACAAATGAAAACAGTAAGCTGAACTAAAACAAAACAGACCGACCCCATACCACGTTCAGCAGGTGTATCCAAAAAGCAGACTTGTGACTCACACTGGCTGTATGGCAAGGGGGAAGGTGGAAGAGCAGCTAAAGCAAAATAAGAGAGCACACACGGGCAGTCGAGCTATCACACAGCAGCCTTCTCCCTTAAGTGGGGAGGTCTCAGGCTTACAGACGCTGACATAAAAGACACACTCGCAACATATTTCAAAACCAAAGAGCGATGGATTTACAAGGCAGGTTGATTTTATGATGACTTTTATTGAAAAGGTACGCTGGGTTTAGGCAGATGCCTTTTAGCGCAGGAAAGTTAACACAGTGCCTAATTCAAGGAGACAGCCTGAGGAAGCAGTGCCGACAGGGGAGAGAACGGCAATGTCTCTATTACTCTCCTCGGCATCATAAAGAGAAGAGAAAAAAAAAATGGCATTCGTGTTGGTGGTTATACAGAGGACAGGAGCACAAAAAATAGAGAAGAGGGGAAAGCAAACCTCAGATGTAGTTTTCTTAAGAAAATAAAATGAAGGCAATCTTAGAACAAAGGGTTGGGTGGAAAAACACCCTCAGTTCATAAATTCTCACCAGGCTTGAAGAAAACTGCTCTGTCTACCCGCAACCGAAAAGCTTCAAAACACAATTATTTTCTGCTTATATTAGAAGAGAAGATTGCACTCCTAGTCTACAAGTTCCAAATAAAGGTTTAGTTCCAACTATTCCTGAGTGCACAGCCCAATAAGGCACTTGGAGACCATGAGAGAGGTGTTCCCTAAGCAGAAATTAGTAATAGTTGTGAACATCAAATACGGAGCAGCCACACAGGTCAACCGTGTCTAGTCCTAAAAGTGAGCCCCAGGATAAGCATCCAGCAAACGTGTTAAATCCCAAGAGAAGTCAGCTTTCTAGCCTTGCAATCGCAAGGAAAACACAGCTGTTTGAAATGCTTTATGGTGATTGACGACACCTTTGTTCTTCTCTGAAAAATAGCCTGATGCGGACAAGAGTTGAGAGTTGTGAAAATAAAATCACATGGAGTCTGCTGGGTGTGATACTATGGAAAAACTAAAAAATAACACCGACATCAGAGAAACACAATTGAGGCAAGCCAAGAGAGAGGGATGGATGTTTCTTCGGGGCCCCCAAATTCCCTAGGAACCTACACTTTCTAATGAAATGATATATACTCCAGTACACATATGGCACTGCTCCTCACTCCAGAGTCCCCAGGGAATAAGCCAGTCACGGCCTGGGGAGAGGCAGTACCCAGGCTAACTTGCCTCTGGCCACCTTCAGAAAAACATTTCCTATCAGGACTATCAGTGCTCATTGACAAGAGATAAGTAAATGTCAGTAATCCACAGCTACTGAATGGGCAGTGGTTGGCCCTTCCCATTACTAGGAGCCTGAAAAATGCCGCGGACCTGTTGAACACTATTGTGAGGCAGGCTTCCTGCGGGGAGGGGGCTCACACCAAAGTACTTACATCTATCATTCCGATCCTCTGGGCTAGATGAGGTTTCCCGATCCGAAATGAGGCCAGAGACAGCAAAGATCTTCTTCCCAGCATCATCAACCTTAAGTGAACCAGGGGAGCTAGATGGCAGCTGGGTCCCAAAGTCATATTCCTTGCCATCTGCATCTGAGAAGCGCAAGTGGGGAGACTCTGTGTCATGGCAGTTCTTAAGTCGCTTGGCTGGCGTAAAGGCTGACTGGTAACTCTCCCGGTCCTCAGTGGAAGCAAAGGGACGGAAAGCCCCCACTCCACTATGGTTCAGCATACTGATTGGGGTGCAATCTAGATTTGGGGGAGCAAACTGAGGGTGGAGGTGTAGTAAAGAAGGGGGAAAATCACGATTGGCAAAAGTGCCTGGCACCCCACCCTGCCGATGGTACATAGAGGCAAAGGTGTAGGAGCCGTTGGTGAAGGGAATGTGCACGTCCTTGTCTACTGAGACAGGTACACCAAAGGGTCGTGGCTGCTGACAGGGGATGGAAGCATCACGGCTGGCCTCAGCCGTGGACGCCAAGACCATCAGTGCCGGGGATGCCAGAGGATTGGGGAGGTAGGACGAGTTCTCCATCTTGAAGGCTGCCCGGTGTAAGTCCATCGGAGTCTCTTTCTATGGCCGGCGTCACACAAGAAGCAGTCTTCCCTGGAAGGGAGGCTGAGTGCACCTCGGATCAGGGCAGGGAGTGTTACTGGGGAATCATCCCCTTCTAAGACCTGCAGAAACAGCAAAGAGAAAAAAGCGGGGGAGGGAGGTCAGGGGGAGAAACAGAAGGGAAACCCCAAGTGATCAAAACACAATCCTTCTGGCTTACAGATGTTCAGGCAAGGGACTCCACAGGCTTTAGGAGCCAGTGGGCAGCAGCATCCGACCATTTTCATTCCAGAAAATCAATAGACAACTTACTGTGATGTACGCGTAGCTGACTTTGGTCCCTACACGTTCCGGGTGAAATGCGCCTGAGCCCAGCAAAGGAAAAAAAATCATAAAACCTCCAAATACAATATTCCCTGAGCAAATGAGCTTTGGACAGCTAAATCACCCAGTAGATTAGGTGGGGTCTATATTTTAAGGAGCTTGCACCTGCATTCGCCACTCAAGGCAGGCCTGATGTTCAGAGACTACGTTCCACCTACAGGATCCCCCCCTACATACACACCCTCTCTTCATCTCCCCTAACAACGCCCTGACACTGAAGAATCCCTAAATCAAGCATATCTAGACCATCTGTACATGTTAGCTGGTACTAATTGTATGTGTGGATAAATCACACACATTGGCACACATATAAACACACATCTTCATGTATCATCTAAGACGGTTTCCATAAAGAAGAGCCATGTGAAGAAACAACAGCACCATTATTTTTGATGCACACCCCCTGTCTAATCATACAGCTTTCTCTTTTCTGAGAAGGAACAAAACCTTCATCAATAAAATGCCTGGCATCTCTGACAAGATTTAAAAACATAATGGGGGCCTTTGGCATATGTTCTCTAGAAGCAACTGTCTTCCAGGAGCCTCAAAGAATGGATGGGTGATTTTAGTTACTAACTCACTCACTCTTAAGTAGATTTGTAAACAGCCTTGAATTTGCCATTAACATTTAGAGCAAAATGTCAACAAAATTTCAGACTTATTTTGCTCTGCTTATTGGCCCAGTCAGAGGTGATGTCCAATAAAGGTCCCTGGAACAAACTGGAGTTTTAGGAGACTTTTTTCAATTTCCCTTTTAAATTTAGGTTGTGCATTTTCATAGCCACTGATTCCGTTTCAAAATTTATCTTGAGGGTGGGAGAAGGGCTATATATCAAAAGTCCGGATAACCTAAGATGAATACTCAGACTTATTAGCTTCAGAAATATACACTAAATAGAAAGTTAATGAAACTCCAAGTGTAACCAAGAATCACCACCTGCTACAGATTATAACCTTTAAATTGAGGGTCATGTCACAAATAAAATTTACCTCCTCCCTTTAAAAAAACCACCTAGATAATGGAGTATCTGGTATTCCCTCAAACAGAGAAACCTCAGTAAAACTGTGGATGAATCCTCCTGGCTTAATGCAGTGCGAAGAGAGTATTTCCTTCTCCCATCCTGTAGCAAACGTGTCAATGACTGTTATTAATTGGGGAGATGAGTGCACGCCATCAGACTGCTTCCTCATTTGGCATCTTTCCTTATAGACATCATTGCTAAATTACCAGATTATGTATCTCACATTAACGGATTTTTCTCCCTTCCAAATTTTAAATAACTTTCCTGTCAAATTATAGCAGTGTGGGGAATGATCTGCCAAGGACAGTAGTTAGCCTGACAAGTCTGGGAATCCTGTTCTTGGCTGTTTTCAAGTCAGATTAATGGTCACACAACATGGACGCTGCATAAATTGGTCTAGAGCTGTTCCAAGGGTTCTAAGCAGCTCCCCACAACAAAAATAACTACTTGTCTATCAACAAGCAATATTACATGAGACAAGCTGGAGAAAAAGGCAAACATAATTCACTGGGGGGTGAGAAGAGGAATGTTTTCTCCAAAAAATAACCAACCACCTTGAGAATTCACTTTCTATTTCTACTTCCTGGACCACCTCATTATGTTAAATGAGTTTCATAAATTAGTAATCTGGTGACAGCACCGGACACTGTAACAGAACCCAGTGAATCACTCAAACCTGGTTATTCATTTGAAACTTCATTATCCTGAAAATAAATCAAGAATATTTTTCCAGGCCACATCTCTTTTACTCTTCTGTGTGGGCGTTGGTCTCTGTGGGAGAAGGAGGAGTGCTTCCCCCCTTTTTTTGTACCCCCGCCTCACATTGTATAGATGAGGCTTCAGCAGACCACAGTCATTATGAAAATCTATAGTTAATACACTCCCAATGTCAAAATGTCATGGGCTTAAACACAGAACCCAAAATAAGGAAACTAACTGACCCTCTTAATTAAAAAAATATGGATTGTAAGATAATCAGCGTGATGGAGCATTTGGGTGACTGTAAAGAACTGGGCAAAGGGAAAGTAAGTAACTGTTACTTTTCTGCCTCTATGCTGATTTTTTTTAATTTAGCACTTCGTGCAAATCCAGATTAAAATAACTCCAGCTATTGATCTGAGCAGTGGAATTGACATTAATTTTAGTTCACTTCTCACTTTGCAAAGGGATCAATAGGAAGTAATAACAGCTGACATCCCCGCTGAAAGGAGGAGAAAGAAGGGCTGAAGACAGAAATCGAAAAGCAACCAAATAAATCATCAGCTACTTTTCCACGGCATCAGACAAACTCCAAACAGATTGCAAAAAGTCTTTGTTGAAATAACTAAACAAGGAGGAGGGATCAATCCACGAAGCTAAATAAATTGTCCGGCAGGCAGTAAGGTTGGACGTTCGAAGGACCAACAAATATTGAGTTTAAAAAATTTCAAATCCTTGACGTGTTGGGTTTGGTTCAGGTCTGCATGTGTGGGAGTTTGTTAAATCAGACACCCGACCATGGTTTAAAGTGATTACAAGACACCAGCTAACTGAATAAGTAGTGAGATTACTAACTGCGTGGTTAAACACGCCAGAACCAAGACAAATGAAACGAAGAAGCTGACGTTTGGAAGGTGAAAATGTCTGAAGCTGGGCAGATGCGCAGCGCGGCGCGTTCCCGGGGCGAACTAGACACTTTCGCATTGAAAAACCGAAAGCCAGTGAGAAAGTCTCCGAGAGTGGACAATCTCCTACCCTAGCCACCGACCACCCCTGTCTAGGGTCTGGGCTTCCTGACCCGCGCCGGAGATCGCGGTAGAAGGAAGCGGCGAGACTGCTGTTGCTGGGAGCCAAACCCACTTGCAAATGACTGCCACAAAGAAAAGCAGCAAAGCCTCTTTCCCGGAGCCCTAGCTCTGAACACGCACCAAACTACGACTCTGCTGGCAATTAAAACGCACACGCAACACTCTTCTGCTTATTACAACAGGTGACATTTCTGTGGTCTCTGAACCGTTTCCAAAAACCAATAATTAAAATAATAGAACAAATTAAACGATATTTTTCCTTTGCATAAATAAACTTTAAAAAAATTAACAGGCAACTTAAAAAGAAAGAACAATGGTAAATGGAACCAGGGTAGTGGGGGGTCGTGAAGAACTCAGGAAAGAAAAACAATTTTTTTTTAAGTTCACAGACTTCTTCGCTTGAAGAGAATTCCCGCACACCAAATGCCAAGGGGGTATTTGGAAACACCGCTCCAACAGAAATTTTACCACCATATGCAAGAGCTCAGGAAGCATGAGGCTAACACGGTTCCAGAGCTGGGGCCAGCGCCTGCGGTTCAGATGTGGCCGGGTATCGGTCCCAGATTTGGACACTGACCCAGGCCTCGCGTAACCACCGGATGCGAATCCGAAACACCCCGGCCTGTCCTAGAGTGCGGGGATGCGAGGCTGCCGGCTCAGCCAGCCGGTGCAGAATTCAGCCGGTAAGAGTCTTATCTGGGAAAAACCCACTCTTTTAGGGAAAACGGAGGAAGAAGAGGTGAAGGCGAAACCTACGTACACTTGGGGCCAACACAAGCAGAGCCCATCACTCCTAGGCCTGACCTCTCCCTCCAGCTCCCGGCTGCCTTTGCACAAAGAATAGTTTAGGTCCCAACAAACCTCCGCACGCAACAATCTGCGTGTAACTTTGCGGAACGAGGGCGCCGGCCAGGGAAGAACGGGCGAGTGCTAGGGGCCCTGGTCCGCCGCCGGGCAAGGCTCGCAGGCCAGGGGCTCGGAGAGAGCTGCCTCGGATCAAAGTCCATGGACCTCGAGCCCCTGACAGCCCCGCCCCGCGGGTCACCCGGGTCCCGTTGCCGCGCACCACCGCTTCAGCGGGCAGCCACCGGGCTTCTGGATTCCGGCGCTCTTGCAAATGTGGGTCCGCGGGGGTCAGTGGGGCCCTCCCGGTTCCGGAACTGCAGGCCTGGGGTGCGGGAGGGAGGGTTCTGCCTGTCGCGCCGCGGCCGCACAGCCGCCGCACAGGACGCAGCTCGCCGAACAGGTGTGTGTCCCCGCTCGCTCGGCGCCTGGGCCAAGCCCCGTAGGTCGCCAGCGGCGCGGCGCCGCCCTGCCCTCAGCCTGCGTCCACCTCACCCCGGGGCGCAGCGAGCGAACTCACGCCACTTTTGCCGGGTTGCCGCAGGCCCAGAAGGATGGGAATGAAGTCGCCCGCAACGCTTTTCCTCGACACTCTTTCTGCCTCCCCCCAACCCCACCCCGGCTCATTTTCCATTTGCGGGAAGAACTCCGGAGAAGGGCAGAGGAGGAGGCCGGGCTCCGCTTCCCGCGCTGCTCCCTCTATTCTCACCGCCGCTTCCTCACTGCGCGCCCTTTTTTCTCTCTATTTTTCCTTTCTTTCCCCATTGCCCCTCAAGCCGAGTCCGGAGCGGAGCCGAGAGGCGAGACGTGGCTGGTGGGTATCGTGGGCAGAGAGCCCCTAGTCTCCCCTCTCGGCTGCTCCCCGGACAGGGAGGAGGCGGCAAAGGCCAGAGACCCTGGACGGCCCGGCCCGGCAGGGCTGACTTCCACACCAAGCGCCCCTGCCCCATGCACCCACCCGGTGTGACGCGCGCCTGGCTGGCGGCCCGGACCCTGGCCCTCCGCTTCAGCCGTGGCCACGGCCCGAGAAGGCAGTGCGTTCTTAACGGGAAGCAAGAGCTCTTCCTCTGCCTCCGGGCAGCTCGGGTCCCCACTACTTCGGGCTCCCGCGCGCCCTCGCCGGCCGGGGTCCACCCCGGCCTCAAGCTCTTGGAAGGGTTCCAGGCGCGGAGGACCGACCGGGCATCCCTTCAGATGGCCTCACCACCGTGGGCGGCCTTGCCCGGGTTGGAGGGGGGAGAGGGGACACACGGAAGCTCTCCGCCCAAGTTTGTTGTGCCCTGGAAAAAAAGGCTTTCCCTTACAGAGCACAAAGGCGAAACGCCCTGGCCGAGCCCTGAAAAGCCCGGGATTAGGGTTGGGGGGTGGGGGGACGGCTGGAGGGTGGGGAGCGCGGTGGCGGGGCCGGGCTCCGGGCGGAGAAGGTCGCTCCGCGGGGGCTGCCGAGCACGGCGGTGGTGGCCGCAGGACTGCAGCGACTGGCATGCTCGCTGAAAAGTTTTGTTTTCAAGTCGAAGGAAGAGAAATTGTTACTCAGTTTAAGACAGGAAGACAGGTCTAAGATAAAAACCAATCACGAAAAGAGCAACGCGCCGCTGTCTATACGGTGGTCCTCCCGCCCCGCTCTGTAGAAACGCTGGGAGAGAGTCCCGACCCCGAAAATCCCGGGAGACCCCCCACGGATCGGGCTGCTCTGAGGCCAAGCCGGTCCAGCCGAGCAGAGCGGGGAGTTTACCGGCTGCACTGAGGTCGGTCCCCCTCTGGGCCAGCACCTGCCTCCTTCCAGCAGGCTGCGACTCCCCCCGCCCCACCCCACCCCCCTCCACACCCTTCACACCCTGCCCCGCCAGGAAAAAGTAAGCCGAGGCCCGGGGGCCCAAGGCTCCCAGCCTCTCCTTGGGTACCGCACTGGGCCCGTAGTGTGTGGCTTGGGGACGGTCAGGGTCCTTTCTCTTTCGGATCTCCCCTTCCTCATCTTGCCCGCCGCCTCGGGCTCCCCACTTGAGTACCACCCGGTCCAGGCCCAGCCGGAAATCACCGCGGGTTACACAGCGGAGCCCGGCGAGAGGCATTCTCGCGAACGACCCAAACAAAGTGGCAAAGGGGCTGATTAAAAGATGGGGAACAGAAGTCCTGCTCCCTTCCCTTGGCTGTCCCCTCACTCTCCCTACTTGTCCAATTCTCGCGTCTGGTCCCTCCCCCTCGCACCCCCACCAAATAAAACACTTGAAGGAAAACTCAAGACGGAAAGTTTGAGTGAGGCAGCGCACCGAGTGCGCAGGGCACCGGTGCCGGGAGGCACCGTCGCGAAGATGTAAGACGCTCCAGTCCAGGTCCCAGCGCCTGCCCCGTCGCGGGGGGAGCCGTCCGAATCCCTAGGAAACGGACCCGGAAAGTTAACCAGGTTCCTGAGCAGCCCGGCTGCCCTCGCACCCACCCCTCTTGTGTACGCACACACATTCACACCCCTTTCTGGTCTCCATACTTGCCGTGGAAATTCCCTGGGAGAACGGTCGCACTTTTCAGGACACGGAGGGAAGCGGGCGGTGAGTGTGGTGCATGAACAGTCCCGGGTGCGCAGAGCCGGCGGAGGCAGCGGCGGCGGCGGCGGCGGCAGCAGGCGGCTGGCCCCGGGTTTGTGCTCGCGAGCTGCCTGGGATTGCATGTACAGAACAGGAGACTCGGTTGGTGTGAGAGAAGGAGCAGTGCTGCCTCTCAGCGCTGGCTCTAATCAGTGAATGAGCCTCCACTCTCCCAGGGACTCGGAGACACACGCGCACACGCACACACACACGCACACATTCTCTCACACTCACACACATACAGGCACTCTGAGCACTGAATACATTAGGGCACTAGGGACTCTGGGAAATGGAGTCCAGACCCAGGGCACTCCTGGAGAGCAAACCTGCCGGCCCTCACGAAGGAGCTGGAAAGTCTTGGGGTCGCCGCCAGACATTGTGGAGACCGAAAAGAGCTCTTGCTTTTGTTCACATATTCCCTCCCACCCACCAAACACCCACTGAGAGATCTCAGGGTCTGGTGCTTTTCTTCCTCTCTTGAACCAAAAGTGACCAAGACTAAATGGATAAATCTTTAAGACTGACACCCATTGCAGCTAAATGACCCTCAAATCCTGGCACCCTCATAAACTCTGCCTTTTTCCAGAAAAACCTTACTGCTTTGCTCCTGGAATGCTTTTCTGAGTGTTTGCCTATAATAAGATAATAATAAATGAATATAACAAAACTATAACTTTTAGAGGGGATGGAGAGGGCCTAGTTTAGCACCCAGATTTGAAATTAAAAATTTTATTGGTATTTATCTTACAGTCCTTCCCTTTCAAGTTATTTTATATCACCCTTTAATTCAAAGGACAGAAAGAAATAGGGGAAATGGATGGAGAACTAACATTCCCTGAGTGCCTTCTAGGAGCCAGGTTTTAGAACTTAATGCTTTTACATAATCTCATTTAATCCTTAGATTAATTCTGGAGATAATATTATCATTATTTTAAATATAGAGGAGGAAACTGAGGTTGAAAGAGTTTTGTTATTTGCCCAGGGGAACAGTTAACAAATCTAGGGTAGCAGGTAGTCATAGCTCTGAAAGCAAAGCCCAACCAAAATTTAATCCTGCTTTAAGAAATCATTCCTTTGTTTTATGTCTCAGTTTCTGAAACCTCAGATTTCTCATCTAAAAAAAAGGGGGGTGGAAATACATACTGATAATCTACTCTGCAATAAACACATGGGATCACAATCACAAACTGTCTCTCTAAAAACAGAGCCCTAAAGTCTCAGTCTTGCTATTATTTCACTGTTCTTTTTTTCTTAACGTTTAACACTAAGGTAATGTGTAAATATTATGTATGTTTATGTGTACATGTCTTGCTTGTATTTAAAAAATTTTAATTAGCAACTCTTTAAGTAAATGGTTAATTTGATCAACCTAGAGTTCTGTTTATGATTATTTTTCTCTCTGTTAATTCATGGATTAGGGTTGTTTGTTTAAGAATCTCTAAATCTTTATCCATGTTTAGTCTTTCATTCACACAACAGGATTTACTATATTAGGCACTATTCTTCCCACTAGGTTATTCTTTCTTGCTGAACTGTAAACTTCATGAGGGCAAGAACCACATTTGTCTCATTCAAAATTATATCCTAAGCTTCTAACAATGTCAGTCTCATAGTTGAATGAATAAATGAGGATACAAATGTCAAATGAACAAAAATTTTTCCCCCAAAGGACTCATCATCTAGTAGAGGAGGCTAGAGTCAGAAAACAATTAGATGACTACTGTAATTAGGATGGCAATCTTATTGCCCTGAGACAAGTTTGTGACAAGAAGAACTATTAATAATCATGCTGGGATGGCAGGCTTGAACAGGGACCATCCTGAGCCAAGCAGAATGAATGGTCACCCAAGCTACATAGGGTGTTTCATTCATTCATTAAAAAAGCATTTACTGAGAACTGTCTTGTGTGGTGTGTTGAAGGAACTACAAGCCATTTGATTTAACTAAAGATAATCAAGAGAAGTAGGGCAAATCACAACAGACTATGTGTTTTAAGTTAAAGAAAGTGGACTTTATTCTACAGATGATGGGAAACCCCTGGAGGGCTTTTCAGGGGTGTGACATGGTAAGGTTTCTGTTTTAAAAAGTCCACTAGTTACTGGGTGAGAATGGTGGAAGCTAGAGAGGAGGCAGGAAAATCAATTAAGAAGTCTGTTAGAGGTAATTCAGTTTGGAAATAATAGGGTCTGAACCAAGGAATTGGGCACTGGGAATGGAGAAGAAGGGACACATTACAGTAAGATCTAAAAGGTGGAATCAACAGGATTTAGCCACTTACTATGGTAGATGGAGGCCTAAGGAAGACCCTATATAAATCCTAAATAGGATTTTATTATTTATAGGACCTTATGCTGTCAGTGCTTTAATGTTCATTAGTAGTGAAATGCTTCCTCAGATCAGCTTATATAGTCCCATAAACCCAGTGCACAATCTCACAAGTAGATGATATAGATGAGAAGCTGTGTGTCAATCATCAAGCCAAACATTTTTAACTGCTATCAATATGCAATGGTCTATACTATAATGCAAGTACTTAGGAATTAGAATAAATCAACACTTTTTATAAAGACAATCTAAATGAAAAAATTAAATGCAGAAAACCCCACAAAGCCATAGAAAAATTACATAATCCAAAATGAATATGTAACACCTCACTAATTCACACATCATGTGGCCAGCAACCTCTGCTATCCAAAACACAAGGAACCAGGAAATAAGCAAAAAATGGTCCCAGAATAGCCAAAATAAACATTACAAAGTCCATGCACTAAAGTTAACACATTTTACTCCTAGGAGAATTCCTCAAGCCTCACTCAGAGACGATTTACTCTTTCTTAGGTACAATTCTAATAAGCTTGATTATTTGGCTTTCCCATTCACGGCTGATTAAGATTGTCAAATTAAAAGGGGGCAGCCATTAAAAAGAATGAGATAGACTTGGATGTACTGACACACAAGGATACCTATTGTATATTGTCAAGTGGGAAGAAAAGCAAGTCATATAATAGTATGCATAATAGGATTTGATATTTGTATATAGATGCATACACACACACACTGACAGAAAATGGCCTGTAGGGATATACACTAAACTGCTAACAACAGTTAAGCCTGGAGAGTGGGAGTGTAGATGTGGGTGAGTGTTGGGGTGGGGAGCCAAGAAAGAAGGGAGGACGCTGACTTTTTAGTTCAAATGCTTCTGTGTCTGTTTCAATGAACATATATCAGTTCGAAAAATTTTGTATCCATTAAAAAGCATATAAAAGAAGCAAAGAGCAGTGCTCTTAGGGCAAGTAACAGCAAGAAGTGGTGACCAAAACATAAGAAGTGAGCACAGGAACTCAAAAACCAGAAGAGAATGGTTATTTGAAGTGGAGACAAAAAGTCCAAACTCATCAGTGGCCCCAGAGAATGTCATGAATTCCAAACCAGCAAAACCCTAATGCATTCAGGGATAAGTCATCAAATAACACATTATGCTTAGTATATTTTACTTACGAGAGCAAGCATGTGTGTGAAAACTTAGAAAAATAAATTCCCACCAAAAGTAGATTTTAATACTTAAGGGAGTAAATTTCACTTGTCTGGAAAATATACATTTGGGGAACACAGCATTCCCTGAAAATAAGAAGTAAAGGAGAATCTACTTTATGTAAGAGCAGAGGTGATGCAGACTGAGGAATGGTCCATAAATTCAACATTCAACAAACATGTATAGAGTGTCTACCAAATGCCAGTCAGTAAAGAC